TCAAATGTCTGCGTAGTATTATTAGTCGGCGATGAAGGTTTACAAAATACAAAGACTGAACAGTGTGCGGATTACTTCGGGGAATATTTCTCGCGTTGTATTTGTCGTGTGCTACTCACTAATTCACCTCGCGTAAAGTTAAGTGAGCCGTATACATTTACAGAAACTCTGCCGGCAGCTGCGTTTCAAGCGGAGGCTGAAGTTGGTTTAGTTAAAGGTGAATGCATATATATATATATATATATATATATATATATATATATATATATATATATATATATATATATATATATATATATATATATATATATATATATATATATATATATATATATATATATATATATATATATATATATATATATATATATATATATATATATATATATATATATATATATATATAGAGAGAGAGAGAGAGAGAGAGAGAGAGAGAGAGAGAGAGAGAGAGAGAGAGAGAGAGCATTAACGCGTACAAATGCAATGGGGTAGTGCTGAGACCAAACACCTTGTTTGTAGTAGAGCAACTTCATATTTCAAAAGGGATGAATTTGAATTAATGGTAAAACAATTAATGGTAAGCATTAATGGTAGAGCAAACTTCCCTGAAGTTTTGCCGCTGCCAGTTTAGTAAAAAATAAAGAACAATCGCGCAAAGCCATCCATGGATCATATACACTGAAATCGAAAAGACGAATTTTTTGTTTTGTTTTGTTTTAAAAAGTGTGCAGACAAACGAAAATTGACACCCTTTGACAAATGTCAATACACGTTTAGCAAATACAAAGAAACAGAGTAACTCTTAGCTTATCCGAAATTTATTTACCTACTGTATCTTGCGCATTATACCGCACTTACGTGTCTTGATACTGAAGTCTCATCAGCTTCCTTAATTATTATCTGTCTTTATATCAATTTTATCGGGTTTCTTTAAAGGAATGTGAACGCTACCTGTTGAGCTCTGAAAAGCATGTTGCTCAACCATTACAAGTCGGTTATTTCGCGTGTGGGGCAGGCGATTCTTCACGTGCTTCAGTATGTATTCTTAATTGCTTATTAAATGGTGCGACCATCGTCACGAAATATATAGGTGCAAGGTGTTTGCACGATGAATAAAATACATTGAATGCGATCTGCTTTCGTTAATTAGCTTTGGTGATTGCGACAGGTTTATCCAATTAATGCTGAACCGTGCCAGGTGTTTGAAGCCATGAAGTTTTCGCTTATGCCGGCTGCAATTCTAAGCTGTCCCAACAAGATGAATGCCGGTGATCCATTTCGCGCAAGTGTCACAAAGTCATCAGTCATACTCCGAGCAACAATCCATTAGTGTTTCCAATCAACGCTCAAGGCACTCAGAAGACAAATTGGGAAAAACGGAGCATGTTTTATGGTAAACATATACACTTAAAAACCAAAAAGCTCGACGCGTTGGTGTATACTGACAGAAATAATGTAAGGCACAGTTCAATTCAGTTATCTGGTGGCCCTGTTTCTTATCATTACAACAGCTTGTAATCTGCTTCGTAAAACACGCAAAGTAAATTAAATTCGTTAATACCTTAACGCCACCCGCCGTATCTTAAGCTACGGTTTGCTCTATATTAATTATTATACAAGTGTTGGTGCCGTTGTCCGGTCTCTATAGGCTAAACGGCACTCTTTGGCCCAGTTAACATTTTACGTATTTCGTGTGCTTTAAGCGTGTATCCGTGGATAACATGTCAATCTCTTTTTGATGCAGCTTCACAAGTATATCAGGAGTATAAACTTTCAAAAAGATATTCAATATTGCCGAGGACAGCTCTAGCATGGTGCGTATGCTTAAAGCTGGTCAGGTGAATGACAGGCAACTATATGAGTCAAGTGAACAAAAATCCAGGACAAAGCAATAGAAACACAATGATTACTGTGAAAAAAGCTTGGTTAACGCTTCAGCTTCGCCTTGAAGTGCAGAACGTGATAGCGTATTTGGGCCTCGCGCATGTCGCCTTCAACTGTACAGAGAAAATAATGTTTGGGCACGTAACATTCGCCGTTCCAAACGATCCAAGTATATCTACTAGATGTGGACTCGCTCCCTGGATTTCGTGCCGACCGGTTGTGCCACCGCGATCTCCGACGACAGCGCAGCTCTGGCCTACTGGGCTCGCCCTACGCCATCTCCTGACGCCGACAAGAGCACTCGCCGAGTGGTGCCCCGTCCTCGGACTCCTGCGACCGTGTCCATCTTTCCTATCTTCTCCTTACATCCGTATGTGGCTGTCCCTGCGCTTCGCTCTCTCCTTTCTCTCTATCTATCCCTATACCTTTTAATCCTATCCTTTTAATCCCGCCTTACCCCTTCCCTCGTGAGCTACTGTTGGAGTGTCCTCTCCCTGAGAGACAGTTACGGGGCTCACTTTTCTCTTCCTTTAAGATTCACCCCCCCCCCCCCTGATGTGCATTTGCTAAATGCCTGCTGCGTCATAATTCCACGACTCGTCCGTAAGCTGCCACGTGTGCGTACCAGCCCACTTTGTAATGTGTGGGCAGCTTTGAACCACCCGTTGAGCAATTCACATGTTTTGACGCGGTGCGGTTCTATATAGGATTCTTCCAGGCAATGTTACATGCGTTAACAAGGCTTGTTCCACTGATTGACATCCACGTAGTTTTTTTTAAATTTTTTTTGTCGGAGCAATTCGAAGCAATGAAGTGGCTCTGGCAGCACACCTGTTTGCCACGCAGACGGCGTGGGCTCGATTTTCACTTTGAACCGAAAATGATGCTTTATATGATTGTTTCTCAGTTTCAGGGGCAAAGCTCCTCAAGCCGCGAGTCGTGCGTTCGCGATGTATGTGTGTAGTAGTAGTAGTAGTAGTAGTAGTAGTAGTAGTAGTAGTAGTAGTAGTAGTAGTAGTAGTAGTAGTAGTCATCGTCCTAGTAGTAGTAGTCATCGTCCTAGTAGGAGGTACCCACCTCCACGGCCGGACTAGGGCAGCGGCCAGCGCACTCTTTTGAATCGAGGAGAAAACCCGCGCAAGTTAATAAAAAATTAAAGTATAGTTGTTACTGATGAACTAACCTACCGAGACGAGTATCGGTGGCTTAATCTTAATAAAATTCTCCTTTAGTTTGATGCTTACCAAAAGAAACAACTAGTAACAGAAGGACGCACTTTGAGCACTATCTGACCAGAATAAATTGCCACGTTGAACTCGCTGGGCGTAACCTTCTCGGTTTTAACAAGGTTTAGCGAGGTTAGGCCGCAGTGCCACGAACTAGCGGCGGTGAAAGGTGGGAACTAGACACGAAGTGCAGGCTGCAAGAGAGCACACGCGAGCCGCTAGTCTGGTCGTACGACTTCTCGTTTAGTCGATGGCATGTCCGCTGGATAGCGGTACTTCTATATGACGAATGCATGATGAAAAGATGAGAGATGGTGGTACTTGGCCTGTTCACTAGATGGACGGACGGACAGACGCACAGACGGATGCACGTACGAACGCACGGACGGACGGACGGACAGACGGATGGACGCACGTACGGTCGCACAGACGGACGAATGAACGGCTGTAAGCAAAGACGAACAGACGGATGGAGGCGCGGACGCTTCACCTCACTCATCATCATGCACTCCGTGGATATGCTGTGATTTTTTTCGGTACCAGAAAAGATGATAAATTTTCACTCGTGACCAGGGACGCCGACACCGACGCCGGAATTCATGCGATACGAGCTCTTTAACGCTATCGCGTTAATAAACTGAACCATCACACAACTACCGTGACATCTTAGCTGCTATGTACTGCTGAGACGGAGGACGTGAGTTGGATTCCCCGCCACGGCGCCTTCTCTTGAATGTGTGCTAATGCGAGAAAACACACTCATCTCCAGAGGGTCGAAAGTAATCCTGAAATATCCAACAACGGCGTAACTCATAATTATGTCACAGTTCTGTCCCATACAACTCTAGAACTTACAATTGTAATAATTAAAAGCGCACAGCGTCATGCATGCAACCCCGGAGCACGAGTCCGACAACTGTGATTAGGGCTAGAAAACAAAATTATATTTTTACTAGTTCCGACAGTGGTAGTAGGAATGAAGACTGCTGACATACATATATCCGGCTTGATCTATAAAGATGTACTCGGGCCGTCAAAAGTTCCCAGGCCACTATCTCATCCATTGCTAAGGCAGCGCGGCTTTGGAATTTTCGAGAGGCCCTGCACTGTATAGAACGTGCCTGAAAATCTAGCACCTACATTTGTTTATGTGTTTGGGTTCGCAGAAAACACGCACTAGCATAAAAAAATAGACGTAGACGTCGCTGATGGTAAGCACCTTTTTTTTCTTTTGTTATCCGTTTAACTGTAGCGAATATTAAGTCTAAGTGTATCATTATCTTTCCAAGCGTGTAGGCTGTACGTGTCGTAAGAAATACTCTGTATATAGAGGAAGACATTTTGACCTGGGCACGTACGCGATGTGCGAGTGGGTGGATGAGAATGTCCACATGCAGTGCACGCGCACGACTATTGTAGCACGTGCCCTAGTAGGCATATGCTTAAGAGTCAAAGTAACGATAGCGCGCAATCTGCATACAAATCGCGGTGAGATGGTGGAGAATTAACCAGTGAGTCGGCAATCCCATCACCAAAACAGAAAGACAAGGTTCCTTCTCGTGCTCGCGTTATCAGGTTTGTACACCGGTCCCACGTGAACGCAATAAGATTGCAATAGTGTGTTTTTTTCGTGTATTACACGAGCATCATCGTATTATTCATCTCTCATACACGTCGTACGATGCAACATACCAACATGATAGCTCACTCGATCACACGTGCACCGTATACCACGCACGCCAGGAAGAGCTCCTGTGTGGATGAATCAGAGAGCTCACGCCCAAGTATTTTATGGTGCAAACGTCTTAAACGGCAGAATACATTTATCTGGAAAGGAAACGTAGTGAGAAAAGGTGCTTTGGATAAAGTCATGCTGCCGTCTGTACTTACGGACGCACTCGTGGGCATCGTGCGCCGTGGCCCTCCCCCACGGCCGGTCGTAGTAGAAAGGCTTGCACTTCTCGCAGTCACGGCCCGCGGTGTTGTGCTTGCACTCGCAGGCTAGCTGGCCGTCCCTGTTCTGTACGCAACGCGAGCCGTGGCCGTTGCACTTGCAGCGGCCGCCCACGGCGAAGTCGGAGACGGCGTAGTAGTAGGAGGCGTCGCGCACCGGCACCAGGGTCTCGTTGTCGGTGGGTTCCGACAGCGCCCAGTTGGTGAGTCGGTTGAAGACCACCTTGACGTCGGTGGCGGTGACCCACTCCTGAAGCACGGGGCTGCTGTCGAACTCATAGGCCGACGGCCGTCCTTCGAGCGTCGAGAAGGCGATGCGAGCCCCGGAGAGCTGCTCGGTGCTCGACTGCGGGTCGCTGCAGAGCGGCTCCTGCTCGTTGGCCTTCGTGATTAACGCGCGGTTCGGACGGCCATACATCTTGCGGCACTGTGACGAGTAGAACTGGAACGGCTGCCAGGAGCGGCCGTGGTCGGTGCTCTTGAAGATGGCCAGGGAGTCCGGCTTGGCGCCGCAGAACTGCAGGCTCACGTAGGTCAATTCGTACTTCTTGCCCAGACTCAGAACCAGGGACACGTTGTGCAGCGGCTGCTGGAATGGCTCGGACATCCAACAGGTGACGTTGTTCGGGTTGTTCAGGTCTGTCAGGTAGGCAGGCCGGGTGCCGGCGCTTCGGGTTGCCGGCATCGCAGATCTGACAATTGCGCACGATCTCGCCTTTCTCGTCGGTGGCCGTGGCGCAGTAGCGCGACGGCGGGTTGCCGCACTCGGAGCTGACGCGCACCTCTTTTACCGAACGCGGCGTTGACGAAGTCCGGGATGCACCGGCGCGGGTTGTTCATCTCGTCGAAACACGGGTCCTGCTGCGTCTGCGCGGCGAACATGGAACTGAGGAAAGGCCGACGAAGAAGCGGCCCTCGCGGTTGCCGTGGCCGCCAGCGCCAGGACAAGGAGCAGGGCCAGCGGCGGGCCGCCGCCGGACACGAGCGTCGTGGCCCCCATTCACAGGAGACAAGCGGCGTGCCGCGCTCTCGGCGCGCTCCTCATACTGCCTGCCGCGGCCGCTGTTTGCCGGCCGCTTCGAATGGGGCCGCCGTCCCGTCCCGCGCCGCCTCCCATTGGTCGCGAGCTCGACGGCCCGGTGCGCGAGGGAGCGCGCGGGTGCGCTTCTCCTGCGCGCACCGGAGGGGCGTCTTCCCCCCACCGCACACTGCTGCTGGAAAGCCAGGTGCCTCTCTCTCTCCCGCCGCGGCCGCCTACGTTTTGTAGCACCCCGATGGGAAGAGAAAGGCGTCAGAGCACGCTGTTGCGCGCCCTGAAGAGAACATCACCGGGAGCTTTGAGGGAAAGGAGCTGCGACGACAAAAGGACAAAAGCTGCTGGACAGTTGAGGATTGTCAAAGCCGAGAAACTATTTGCGACTCGTTTCGTTTTGTTTCTTATTACGAACAGGAGGCGCGACGAAAGGTGTGACCACGAGCAGCGTTTTCGCGTGGTTGAACTTGCAAGCACATCGCGAATGTTCGTGCAAACCTTAGTGTCACTCACATTTTTTATTCAATTATATGGACACTCTCGGCTAGATTTCGCCGCTGGCGTCGATGTCATGCACCGTATATGTATACGTATCTGTATATATGAAAACGCAAGAAAGATAGAAAATCCCTGAAAATCGAACGTGGGACCTCCGCGTCGTGGATGCGAGGCGTTAGCCACTGAGCCACCGAGAGGTACCTCGTTCTACGTTCAAACGGCAAGCTATTCATACTTACCACTTACCGCTGTTGGCGGGCATCTCGGGGGTGGGGGACTATCGTGTTTTCAGCATTATCTGCAAGATGGCGCAGTAAGCGCGCGGTGGCTAGGGTGCCTGAATGGTTTCCCTCGCCCGCCGCAAGGAGCGGCGGGCGAGGGAAACCATTCAGGCACCCTAGCGGTGGCTCTCTCACACGTACATTGGCCCACGTAGATAATAAGGGAGTGCACGCTCGATCGCACGCCCTTATCTTGCAGTGGGGAGAATCGTACGTCTTGGCTAGCCTTTGGGTTTCGTCGGAACGATTCTGTTGTAGCTACCGTACACATAAAGGTCACTGCAGTCGTTGCACAGCCTCCGTTTGCAAAAAGGGCGCGCTTTTCAGGCACAGCGAAGTAACAACTGAGACGCTTATTCGCGTTCATCTGCATGGAGGAAGAAAACATACAAGTGGGAGTGTTGCGCAACGCGATTGAAGCCCACCAAGTCGGCCCAACACGTGACCAAAAACATCAGCGCATGCAGTAGGTTTTAGTTCTCTCAATATCGTTTTGTTTCGAAAAGTGTTTCGTCGCTCGTAGCGCAGAAGCACTACCGTGAACGCTGTGCTCACGTTTCTGGGCTTTGGCGTCGAATCGCACTGTTTCTTCGAAGCTAAAAGAGTCTTCGCAGTGAATGATCTTATGTAGACACGTCTCAAGGAATGCGGCGTAAGATTATAGCGAGAAGTTGAATTATGTTCAGCGAAAGTCTACTACGTGGCTGTGCCCTGCTGCGGGTAGGGTTGTTTCTGCGGCTTCATGTAGCAAAACACGCTTTGCCAGCTGTTCTTTACGCGAGCACCCGTGAAGTGCAAACCGGTACAGCTATTTGCCCGTCAGTAGCAGTTTGACCGGCAGCTCGGTTTTGCGCGCGGCTGGTCGTCAAAAAGCGAAGAATTCGCAGGCACTTTGCGCGGGCAGAGTAATAGCCGGCAGAGTTAATCACGCCATAGCCTGCTCTGGAAACATGCTGTGACTACTATAATTGTCCCCGCGCAAAATACCAACGTTCCTATAACAGCCGGCCGCTCGCAAAAGTGAACTGCCGGTCAAAGCAGTACTGGTTCTTAGTAGTCGCATGATGTTTCCAAAGCAAGCTATGACGTATTTATTTCGTATTTTGCTGTCTTTTCTGTTAAGTGGCTTTCTAAAAGATTGATTGATTGATATGTGGGGTTTAACGTCCCAAAACCACCATTTGATTGTGAGAGTCATAGTGGAGGGCTCCGGAAATTCCGACCACCTGGGGTTCTTTAACGTGCACCCAAATCTGAGTACACGGGCCTACAACATTACCGCCTCCGTCGGAAATGCAGCCACTGCAGCCGGGATTCGAACCCGTGACCTCCGGGTCAGCAGCCGAGTACCTTAGCCACTAGACCAGCTTTCTAAAAGAAGTAGCCGCCACCACTCTGCGATGGCACACTGTCCACGGCTTTGAGGAAGGAACAAATCCAACAACTTTCCTAAAGGAGTCATTGTTGTCCTTTCGAAAACGTATATGATTCCCTTTAAAGAGACAAGTCAACTCTTCTTGTAGATCATTGTGCTCTTTTCTGAGAGTCATGTGACGCACGAGAGGGTTGACGTGTCTCTTTAACGGCAGTCACATGCGTCGCTAGTCAGGATCCTCCGAAAAGAGTCGCACAGCTTCTTCTTTTTTTTTTCTTAGAGTGCATGCCATTTGGAGGTGCTAAGTATCTGGAGTGAAAGTTAATTTCCAAACAAAAATTATTCGCAGCCGTACATTGCGTACTTAAAGTTTGAGATTTCTTTCTGTCAGGGATGACTGTGAAAAGGTGTGCACACGGGTTTCGACGAGTCACGTTTCTGATATGGCTTGACCTGGGAGGCAGGAGTGAAAGAACCATGTATCTTACTCAAGATGTTGAGAAGTAGCTTGTCAAGTGTGCCGGGTTTGCATAGTCCATATCTTTTTTTTTTTGCGTCGTGTTTCTCTTGCAATGTACCAACTCAGCCTTATCAAATAATTTTTTATTAATTGTATACAAGGAGGGGTTCCTTGACACCGAGTACTCCTCTGCTGTTGCACAACAGCCGACATATATTACATAACGAACACAAGGCTATACATTGGTACAAAGCACAACGCTTACGCACTGAGTCCAAGTTTTTCCATACAAAAATCTGTCCACAGCACACAGAATTTGTAAACACACAAGCAATCACGCAACTGAAATGTCTACACAAAACATGAAAGTCTACCAAAATGTTGTCAAAGGTGATCATGTCTCTCGGGAGCAGCTTTGATCAAAGTTCTTGCTTGAGAGGGGACGTACTACATTGGTAAATATGCCTCATATTGCTCATTGTCGTGCCTGTTGAAACAAAATAACAACTATAATTAAACTATATTTGATAATTCAGAATATTAAGAAATTAATAAATCGACATACTATTGTGTTAGATTTGTCAGTATCCCAAGAAAAGTGGCTTGTCCGCAGAAATGATGCCCATCACGCAGTACTTATTCGTGGGCGAATCGAGCCCTAAACAAACACTGCGAAGATGAGTGTAGGACAAGAAAAACTTACACTGAATAACTTTATTACGGCGCATATTTTCGTTCAGGGTTACGGTTGCCATCACAGGTCGGATTTGTAATAAATCATACTAATTTATTGTATGCCTCGAGCGATGACCTACAGTGTCCTTGTTACAGGAAAGAAGGAACAGAAGAGTATGCTGCCTTACACTGAGGAAAGAGATGAGGGAGTTCTAAAGATGGAGAGAGAGAAGAGCATGCACGCACTAACGTGCACCTCACAACCATGATAACGCCATTGGTGTGTAACCGCCGGTGCACGGTCTGATGCATTCAAAAACTTTTGCAGTACCTTCGTCCTCTTCTCCCATAATCACCGCTCTGGAGAACATTGCATAATGGTTTCCACTGTCATTGTTATGTCATCCGTGCGACCCATAGAGCGACCGCAATTGATTTTCTCTGCGCATTGTACCAGAGGACAGTCGCAGAAGGATGTGCTGCAATGGTCTCATCGCTACCACAGTATATACAAAAAGCGGTTGTCAGTCCTTCCGATTTGAAAGGAGAATGACTTTCGTGAAAGCCACTCTTAGCCGTAAGCGGCAAAGCAGAGCGGCATCTTTTTTATCTTTTCGACGTAGCCAAGTATAGGTGTCTGAAGGCGACAATTGTTTTAGCAGCGGTGGCGCTGGTTGCGCCGTCTATTCGCTGTATTCCAAGTGGAGAAAGATATGTATACTTCTTGTACGGCCACTCGAAGTCGGCTAGCAGCACCCGTCCTTGATAGTGGTATTGTCTCGAGCTTGTCTTGACTGATCCTACCACGGTGACTTGGCCGCGGCTGAAATATCGTGAATGTGGTGTCTTTCTCGAACGAAGTATGAAGCAGATTATTTGCGGTGTTTCTATATTTATTTTTGTTTATAACTTAGTACAGGTGGCACAGCGCAGCGACTTCGGTGGCAAACATTAACTCTTTTTACAGCGAAAGCTGTCATGAGATCACAACTCTGGTCACGCACGGTTGTCCACCGCCGCCGCCAGTGTCCATAACCACATCGCACGAAGTTAAACCCAGTACCATGGCACACTGGGGCTCGAGCCCGGGTCCGCTGTGTGCCAGCACAGTATCTACAACTGAGCCATGCTGGTGCTCGGGACTTGTTGGCGAGCTTGCCATAGGCAGGCTTAATGTCGGGAAATCAATCGCGTTAATTCGACCTATAAAGCGCTTTAAAACAGCGAAAAAAAAAGCCAGTCGTCACACAATGCGAATAGCGTAACGAGTGGGTCGTCCAATGCTCCGACCCACTACACAAGTTCATGATGAAACAAGAGCAAAAATACACACACTGAGAGAGGACACAGACAAGCGCTTACTAGCAACTGAAAATTTTATTTCGAAGCGAACACTAATAAATACATCGCACGCATGTACGTCATTCCCGACTTCGCCCCGCCGCGGTGGTCTAGTGGCTAAGGTACTCGGCTGCTGACCCGCAGGTCGCGGGTTCGATTCCCGGCTGCGGCGGCTGCATTTCCGATGGAGGCGGAAATGTTGTAGGCCCGTGTACTCAGATTTGGGTGCACGTTAAAGAACCCCAGGTGGTCTAAATTTCCGGAGCCCTCCACTACGGCGTCTCTCATAATCAAATGGTGGTTTTGGGACGTTAAACCCCACAA